GTGGGAGGGATACTGGGATCAGTGGTGGTGGAGAATGGGCACTGGTGGAGGATGGGTACTCAATCATTGTATAATTTAAACCCAAACTCAAAAATTTGTAAGTCTACAACTGTGCCTCATGGTGTTTCTCTAATAAAAATTAAAGAAAAAAAAAAAAGAAGTTCTCCAGGTTCAACTGACATTAAAATGCTCTTAGAGGGATACTACTTGTAAAGTTTATTTTTTTTCAACCACACAACTGCAAAGAAAAAATATAGTCAGTCGTTTTCAAAATGAAATAAGAAAATTTATCTTGAGGCTGGAAGATAGTACAGTGGGCCGGGCACTTCCTGTCACGTGGCAAATTTAGGCTCAATCCCTGGCCAGCCGTATGGTCCCTGAGCCACCAGGAGTAAACCCTGAGCAGGGCTGGATGTGGCCCCCCAAACCAAACAAGCAAACAAATCTGTTCTTATGACATGCGTGGTCAAGAGGACTATGTGTGCCCCATTGTTCTGGGCTGAGAGATGTGCAGAGCGGGAGACAGCTCCTCTAGGATGCTGTTGGCTCGATCCTCTGCACTTCGGACGTCCCTTCCGCAACACAGGGTCAGGAGCAGCCCCCTGTGCACTGCTGGGTGGCCCAAACACCACCCCCAAATAAATCACACAAATCACAAATCATCCTGTTAATCGTCGATTGCCTCGAGCAGGCCCCAGTAACGTCTCCTTCATCCTAGCCCTGAGATTATATCCAAGGCTCTTTAGGAGAATGAGACCCATCATTGTTACTGGTATTTGGCATATTGGGGACACCACGGGGAGTTTGCCAGACTCTGCCCTGTGGGCAGGCTACATTCGGCAGCCTGCCAATTTGTCCAAAGTAGGAATGAGATAATAAGATGTCGCGCTTCCGGGAGCTGGTTTTTATAGTCTCTGAGTCTTGGCCATTGATGGGATTACACGGCGCCAGGGGGCCAGTTGGTGGGTGTGACCCCCGCCTACTGGAACCTGGAGGATCTGGGTGGAGGATGCTCGGCCCAAATCTGAGTAGGTTTGGAGATCTCGGCCCCGGAACCCGCGTGACTTTGTCCCTCTGCCAGTACCTTCATGTGTGCGGAGAGTGGTAAATAAATAAATAAATAACGATACTTTTGTTTTTCACTTAATCACAACAGATCAAGGTGCTGAGAAGGGGCTGGTGCCGGCTTCGCAGTGGAAATCTCTCCCCAGACCTGCTGGCTGGAGCGATAGCACAGCGGGTAGGGCGTTCGCCTTACAAGCGGCCAACATGGCCGACCCGAGTTCGATTCCTCCGCCCCTCTCGGAGAGCCCGGCAAGCTACCGAGAGTATTCGATATGCCAGACACAGTAACAACAAAGTCTCCAATGGAGACGTTACTGGGCCCGCTCAAGCAAATCGATGATCAACGGGAGGGCCTTTACCTTTACCTTTACTAGAGTATAAAATACTTAATACTTATACACACACACACACACACACACACACACACACGTGTTCTATTTACCAGAATAACAGTATAGCATGGGAAAGCAAGCAAGCAGCTCCTTTGAGGGCAGTGCCGGAGAGCAGGGGACCCTCTGAGGCCGGATGAGCAAGAATCTGGCCAGGCTTCCCCAGAGCCCAGGGGATCCAGTGCGTCCCCCTCTGTGGCTGGTTCCTACCCCTGACCCTGACATACTGAGTAGTCAGCCAAACCTTGACAGCAGTTTCCTGGCCTATGGAAGAACCGCATGGACCAAATGAAAAACTCCATCGCCAAGAGAGCAAATCAGAAGCAATGCCAGTTATAAGCAAATTTCATGACTTCCTCTCTCCTAACAGCTGCATAGTATTCCACATGGAGAGTATCATGCTAAGTGAAATGAGTCCGAAAGAGAGGGACAGACATAGAAGGACTGCGCTCAATTGTGGAGTATAGAGTAACATAACATGAGGCTGACACCCAAGGACAGTAGATACATGGGACAGGAGGATTGCCCCATAGCTGGAAGCCTGCCTCATGAGCAAAGGGGAGAAGGCAGCTGGAATAGAGAAGGGATCGCTAAGAAAATGAGGGCTGGAGGAATCGGTCGGGATGGGAGATGTGTGCAGAAAGTAGATAAAGGACCAAACGTGATGACCTCTCAGTGTCTGTATTGCAAACCATAATGCCCAACAGTAAAGAGAGAGTATGGGGAATATTGTCTGCCATGGAGGCAGGAGGAGGGTGGGGAGGGGGGTATGCTGGGAGTATTGGTGGTGGGGACTGTGCACTGGTGGAGGGATGGGTGTTTGATCATTGTGTGATTGTAACCCAAACATGGAAGCTTGTAACTTTCTCACGGTGATTCAATAAAATTAAAAAAAGAAAAAGCAATGCCACCTGGGGAGCTATAGAGCACTGCCCCCAAAGTGGAAGAGTGTACGTTGCTCCCTTTCAAACCCACAGGCCCCACCCCACATCGCTCCTGTTGGAGCCCAATGAAGTTAAGGCGAAGATGGGCCTCCAGGCAGTAGCCCAGACTGCAGCATTTAGAAATATTGGATTGGAGCGATAGCGCAGTGGGGAGGTGTTTGCTTGCACGTGGCTGACAGGGTTTGATCCCCGGCATCCTACATGGCCCCCTGAGCACCGCCAGGAGTGATTCCTGAGTGCAGAACCAGGAGCAACCTCTGAGCATTGCCAGAAGTGGCCCCCAAACTATAACAAACAAAAAGCAAAAAGTCTATGGTGTCTCTAATGCTGACAAGTGGACCAGGGTGGCTGGGCTGGCTGGCAGGACATCTTTTCTCATGGCAGGCATGTGCTTCTCTTGCTGGAGCTCAGGTTCAGTTCACGCCACGTCACAGGCTGCCCTGCCACTGCACGGAGCACTCCTGAGCACTCCTGAGCACTGTGCATGGGAGAGTTTTCAAACAGTGCGAAATGTGGTTCAAACACCCTTTCCCATAAACAAGAAATCAATCTGGCCAAAGCATTCCCCCCACCGTCATCATGAGCAAGGGGATCGTGATCATGCTTTCTGCAAAAATCCTGAAACCTGACACACTGGCTGAGTTAGAAGTGGTCAAATGAACTGTCAAATGTGCTGGCATATTTCCAGTATAGAACAGGCTGAATCTTTTTTCTGTATCCTACAAAAGAGAGGTATAACGCTGGGCCAATTTGGACTTTGGAAGCAAAAGAAAAACAAACAAACAAATACTGCCCCAAGTGCATCTATCCGAGGATTTGGTAAACTGCCATGTGCAAAAGAAATCCAAGAAAAAAAAGTTGGTCGGTGCCAGGTCCGTAAGATTGTAAGTCACTCTGCGTGGGGGCTAGCACTTGGTCTTGCCAATCATTCCAACTTGGTATAACTCAGCATTCTGCATGGCACTAGAAACATCCAGAGACAAGGAGACAGAGCAATCTCTGAATAGCCACATGGCAGAAGCCTGCCATGATGGAGTTAAGTCTTGCCCTGCAGAACTGTAGAAGCAGAGTATTGTTTGACATTTGAAAAGCAATTGAGGGAGAGAGAGAGAGAGAGAGAGAGAGAGAGAGAGAGAGAGAGAGAGAGAGGTGATATTAAGGCATTTGCCTTGCACAGAGCTGGCATGAATTTGGTCCCTGGCACCGCATATAATCCTCCAAGAACCCTCAGGAATAACTCTGAGCACAGAGCCAAGAGTAATCTCTGAGTATCACTGGGTGTGGCCCAACACAAACCCTTCCCAATAGACCTCAGATTGAAGTCAGGAGCAAATAAAGGCTTATGCTGGGAGCTTGGTGATTCAGCATAAAGCAACAAAACACGTGTCAGAGTACTTTATTCCTGCTAATGCCAATAGTCCACTAGACAGATGCAAGATGCCACCATCTCCCTCTCTTCTTGTTATGGAGGCTCAGTTTCCAAAGTTTGGGTCTGTTAAGAATAATGCTGCTACCAGAACTAGAGATAATACAGGGAATAAGGTGTTTGCCCTGCATGCGGCCAGCCTGGATTCAATTCCTGACACTGCATATGGTTCACCGAGCCTGCCAGGAGTGATCCCGCGTGTGCAGAGCCCGGAGTGGATCCAGAGCACGATGATGATGATGACGATGATGCTATCAGCTTGTCTTTCACTGGAAATATATACTCATTTCTCGTAAGAACAAATCTAGTAATAGAACTCAGGGGCATGGACAGGTGAGAGGAGAACCAGTTTTCCAGAGTCACTGAACTATTTTTATACTTTGAGCAGGAAGGGGTGAGAATGTCAGTCTCTGCCCGCTGGCCAGCTCTTGGCCTTGTCATTCCAACTCAGTCATTCAGGCAGGTGTAGAGACTATGGTTTTAATTTGCATTTCCCTGATGAGTAATAATGTCAAACAATATTTTCTTTACTCAATAAAAGAATAAAAAGAAGGGGCTGGAGAGATAGCACAGCGGGTAGGGCGTTTGCCTTGCACGCAGCCAACCCAGGTTCGATTCCCAGCATCCCACATGGTCCCCTGAGCACCGCCAGGGGTGATTCCTGAGTGCAGAGCCAGGAGTAACCCCTGTGCATTGCCGGGTGTGACCCAAAAAGCAAAAGAAAAAAAAAAGAATAAAAAGAAGACCCACAACAAACCAAAGTGCTGAGAGTGGCGGTCTTTGCAGAGGGATTGGGGGCTGAATGAATGCTTTGTGCGTTCTGGGCTTTGTCTCCTGGTCTTTCCATCTGTGAACTGTACTTAAATTTTCTGGGTCTTTTTGGTTGTTATTCACTTTAAATGCTTTATTTTTCAGATTATAAAACCACCCCCCAAGCCACCCAACTTACTTATAAATAACAAGGTGTGGGCTGGAGAGAGAGAGCAGGATTCAAAGCATGTGCCTTGCAAACAGTTGACCCTGATTGGATCCCCAGCACCACGTATGGTCCCCTGAGCACTGCCAGGAGTGCTCCCTGAGCACAAAGCCTGAAGTACGCCCTTAAGATGCTCAGAATGGTCCCCAAATTTAAAATAATAATGAATAATAAGTAAATGACAAAGATAATGACGACACCAGTATTATAAGTCATCAGGACACATTTATTGAGCACCTGCTGTATACCCAGCACTGTGGGAGGAACTTTCAGGACACAGAGCAGCTGGGAGTATGTATGTCCTGCCCTTAGAGGCTTACAGTCTAGGTAGAGATGGGAGAGCCTGGACACGCGGGAACCAGGGGAAACAGTCCGGCCAGGCTGGTACAGGAACTGGAAAGCATCATTTTGGGGCCTCCGGGGCTCCATGTTCTGCCCCATGAAAGAACTCGGGCCTCCCAGGCCCAGACTCGCCTGCCCAGTGCTCAGTGCGCGGCCCTCAGCTCCTCGCTGTCACACCTGACTCCTTGTTCAGTTGCTATTCAAAGTGCAATGAAATGGGGGGGGGGGGGGGACGGGGGAGGGGGATGTCCTTGGAGGTCCAGGGGCTGTTGTCACACTCTCCCTCCTAGATAGTTCTGCTTCTGCCCCTTCCTAACTCCCCCCACACACAGAGCCCAGTGCAGGGGCTCCGACTCCCCGCGCACCCACCCCCTCCTCTTCCCGTCCTAGCCTACTACAGAGTTGGGGAGACGGGCACCCGGGGCTGGGGGGAGGGACGGAGCAGAGGGAGAGTTGAGGGCCCAGCTGGAGCACCTCGAAAAGTCAGGGGCGGGGTCCTAGGGAGGAGGGTGTTTGTTGTTACGGGACCCCACTGCCCTGGGCCTTCTCAGACAGGGGTGCCAGGCTGCGCCTGAGTCCTGGTCACCTGCCAGACGGGACTTCAGCCCGGAAGGTACCTGGAAAGTGCTAATGTTTACTTCTCAAATTATCGCGATTCCTGGAGAATGCAGGAAAGGGTCCCCCCACAGAGAGCACCACCGGGGGAGGGGCCGCAGCCCGGGAGAGGGAACAAGGGGAGGTTTTAAATAATATTTGCATAACAAAAACACCTACACTCTAATGAGGGCCGGCTAAAGGGTGTGTGTTCTTTTAAATAATGCTAAGGGGGGGGGGGGGTTATGGGGGCAGCAAGCCGGGTATGTACAAGACGAGTTTAAATTAAAACACAAATAATAATTAAGATGCACGAACTGAAGGGCTGAGCAGAAGCTGTGACAGAGCCCGTGGTGGGGGGCCCCTTGTTCCAGGAGCCTGGGGACTCCCAGGCAGGTTACGGCTTCCTCTTGGAGAAGATCCGTCGGCGTTTCGAGTGGTAGAAATCTGGGGAGACAGAGAAGAGCATCAGCCAGGCCAGGAAGAAGGACCCACCAGGGCAAAAGGGGCAGAGGCGCCAGCCTGAACTGCAGGGGCATGGAAGGGCTCTTGGGCACTTCTCCGAGCGCCCCAGCAGGTCATGGTGACCGAGGGCAGTGCCGGCATCCATCCAGGTACCTGCCTGGAAGACGAGCTGCCTGGTCCAAGATCTGGGATCACTGGGGAAATGGACGGTGGAGGGATGGGTGTTGGGTCTTTGTAGGACTGAAACCTGATCCAAAAAGTTAACAGCCTTGTAACTATGTATCTCATGGTGACTCAAATAAATAAAATAAAAATTTAAAAAATAAATCAATGTTAACTATGTTAACTATTTTAACAATTAAAAAAAACCCAAATGTTATCTCATGTGCAACACGGAAAAAAAAACAAACAAAAGAATATCTGGTCCCCCCACTATGTGTTCATTTCCATAGAAAGGTCTGTTGCTCTGTGGCTTGCACCAAAGATGAGGCTGCAGGCTGGAGAGACAGCACAGCGGGTAGGACGTCTGCCTTGCACGTGGCCGACCCGGGTTCGATTCCCAGCATCCCATATGGTCCTCTGAGCACCGCCAGGAGTAACTCCTGAGTGCAGAGCCAGGAGTAACCTCTGTGCATCGTTGGGTGTGACCCAAAAAGGAAAAAAAAAAAAAAGATCAGGCTGAGTGGCTCTGAACCAGGCCCTGATCGCAGAGCCCCTGGGACAGCTCTGCTCCCAACTGCAGGTATTAGAGCAGCACGAATGAGAGCCAGCAGACCCCCTGGGGGAGACCCGGCTCTCTGCCTGGGTCCTGAGAGCAGCACTGCGCCCTCAGAGGACCGCCGGAGGGTACGTGTCCGTTCTGAGCCGTTTCCTCACTGAGAACATGAGGGGCTGTGAGGCTGCAGACGCGGCTCTGGAGAGGCGCAGCCCGGCTTCTCCCGGCCTCTCTCAGGAGTCTTAGAGCAGGCAGAGAAAGCGTCCAGGCGGTCACCTCTCCCGGCTCACTGTCACTTGCACAGCACCTACTCTGTGCGCGGCACCGCCAGGGGTGACTCAGGCGCAGATGCAGATCCCTTTCCTGTGGGAACTAGACCCGCAAGGAGGCAGGATGGCGCTGGAAAAAGGATGTAGCTGTTGCTGACTATAGTTAAGTGTCAAAGAGAAAAAAATAATCAGAGAAGGAGGACGGGAAGTGTGAGCGTGTATGTGTGCACACGTGTACTAGAACAGGAAACTGAGTTCAAATAGGGTTGGAGCAATAGCACAGCAGGTAGGGCATTTGCCTTGCACGCGACCGACCTGGCCGACCCAGGTTCGATTCCTCCGCCCCTCTCGGAGAGCCTGGCAAGCTACCGAGATTATCTCGCCCGCAAGGCAAAGCCTGGCAAGCTCCCTGTGATGTATTCGATATGCCAAACACAGTAACAAGTCTCACAATGGAGACGTTACTGGGCCCCCTCGAGCAAACTGATGAACAACAGGAGGACAGTGACGGGTAATCAGGAAATTATCATTAGTTCTCTCTCCACTGCAAATTCACTGTGGGGCCTTAGGGAAAAGCTACCTCTCTGAGTGGTTTCCTTGCCTGTATGAGTAGTTAGAAAGATACCAGAGTGAGAGTATAGCAGCTAGGGCCCTTGTCTTGCATGCATCTATGCCAGGTTCAAGTCCCCAGCACCCCAGATGGTCCCCTGAGTCCACCAGGAATGATCGCTGAGCACAGAGCCAGGAGGAAGGCCTGAGCACTGCTGGACGTGACCCAAAAAAAACAAAGTGAATAAAAGAGTGACTGAACCATTTGGTACTGGACCCTCAGAGGACCAACCCAGAAACCCACCCAGAAACTTAGGAGCTTAGCAAAGGGCCTGGGGCCACTCGCCACTCTTGGCTGAGGGTCTGCTGTGTGCTCAGAAAGCCACTTCCCCTCTCTGGATGTCACCCTCAACGCCGGCCAGGCAGGTCAGCCCTTGTATGGTGATTCCTGCCCCTGTCCTCACCTGTCATGCTGGTCTGCCGCCGTTTCCGGCCCTGAGAGGTGCCGGGAACACCTGGGGACCCCTCGGGCTGCTCGGGGGAGGGAGGCCGGATGGTACAGGACAGCGACAGGTCCACGTGGTCCTCCTGGGCCGCGCCCTGCAGCAGGACAGAGGGCCCAGGCCGCCTGCCCCCGTCCAGGTCATCGAGGCGCGCCAGGCAGGCCTTGGGCAGGCCAAGGCCACGCACACGCTCCCAGGCGAAGTCGCCCTCCAGCGGTGTCTCGGTCACGAAGTCGAAGTTCCACCGCTCGCGGGCCTCCTGCACACAGCTGGCCATGAGGGCGTCGCAGTCCCGGCGCAGCTGCTCACTGTCCACGGGGCCGAAGAGGCGGCGGCAGGCCGTGCTGCCCCGCGGGATGGGCCGTGTATCCACAGTATGCTCCGACATGCTCGCTGTGCTGAGAGATAAGGCGGCCTGTCACTCAGGGAACCCCACCAGCCCTCCCCCAGAAACGCAGGGCAGGCTCGGCCACTCGGACCCACCTCCCCCATCAGCTGGAGAGCCAGCCTCTGTCAACAGAGGCAGGGACAAGTCAGCAGGGGCAGGGCCTGCCCTCTGGGCGTTAGAGTATCTCTCCCGGGTGGGGCTGGCAGGTCCTGCCAGTGGGCGTGGGGCAGGAGTTCGAGCTCAACCTGCCGGAGCGTGGGCGTTGCTTGCAGGGACCCAGATGCCATTCTGGCACCCAGGTCCTGAGTGTGGCCAGGAGACTCCTGAGCACTGAGCCGGAATAGCCCCGGGGTCACACCGGGTATGAGCACCCCCGTCAAATAAAAGGGAAAACAGCTGGACTAAAGATGGATCCACTGACAGCAGCCCACGGCCCTGAAACACAACCGGACCGCGCGCCAGCCCCAGGGGGAGGCCCTGCCCGGCCACCCCAAGGCAGCTCAATCCGGCAGAGGCAAAATCACCCCAGCCAATCACCAGACTTGAAACAGTTCCGAATATCTTGGAGCTGGGAGATAGCTTAAAGGACTGGCCACTGTTGCCACCCGGTGAGCCCCCAAACACCACCCACCAGCATGGCATCCACCTCCCCCCAAAGTTACTAATATCTCATAGAAAGGAATAGAGAGAGAGAGGAAGGAAAGAAGAAAAAGAAAGATGGGGGCTGGAGCAATAGCACAGCGGGTAGGGCGTTTGTCTTGCACACGGCCAACCCTGGTTCGATTCCCAGCATCCCATATGGTCCCCTGAGCACCTCCAGGAGTGATTCCGGAGTGCAGAGCCAGGAGTAACCCCTGTGCATTGCCAGGTGTGACCCAAAAAGCAAAAATAAATAAATAAAATAACTAAATTTAAAAAAACAAGGAAAGTAAGAGAGGAAAGAAAGAAAGAAAGAAAGGAAGGAAAGAAAGAAGGAAGGAAAGAGTGGAAGGGAGGGAGGGAGGGAGGGAAGGAAGGAAGAAAAGGAAGGGAAAGGAAGAGGGAGGGATAAAGAAAGAAGGGGTGAGAGGGAGGGACGGAAGTGGAAGGAAGGAAGGAAGAAGGGCAGGCAGGCAGGCCGGCGGTCAGGCGGGCTGTCTCCGGGTCTCTTCGCCTGTAAAGGGGCCGTGACAGTGCAAAGGGCGGCTGTGAGCAGGAATCAGATGGTCAGAGGCCCCTGGGCCAGACAGAAGCAGCAGCTGAGGAGCTGGATCCGAGACCTCAGAGCCAGGACCTAGAGGCGCCCGTGACGCTGGCCGCAGGCTCTGCCTCAGCCCCGGGTGAGTCTCTCTCGGGCCCTTCCCTCGGAGCAGTCAGAGCCAGCGGCTCCGTGCAGTTCACCGAGCACACGCCAACCTGCTGCATTCAGAGGTGCGGCAGGAATCTGCCTGGGCCTGACCGAGCCACCTGTGCCCCCACTTCCTGCAGAAGGCGGCTGGCAGGTGCTGGGGGGGCGGGGTGCAGGCAGGCAGGGCCTGACTCCCCCAGGCCGCGCCACTGCGTCCCAGGCACCTCCACGTCCCAGGCACCTCCAGGTCCCTCCCAAGGAGCCCGCAGCCAGGGAAAACCGAGTGAAGGTGGTTCCTGAGGCCCTAGGAGAGGTGGCTGCACCCCGCCCTGCTCAGGCCCGAGTTAGGCGAGTTAGTCTGGCAGGGTCGGAGCTCTACTCGGACAAGCCCTACGTGCAGGCTCTGCGGCTGACAGCTCAGCCAGGACGCCTCCTGGCCAGAGCCTGGCCAACGGCGCCCAGGGAGCCCAGCAAACCAGGTCTCCGCTGTTGGGGGACGCTGGGTGCCCTCAGACTGAGCTTCAAGACCGGGGTCCAAAGAAGCGACCCTTGAGGCCAGAGGGAGGAGGAGGGTGTTGCCTTCAACACCGCAGCCCCAGATTCAATCCCAGGCGTTCCTGAGCACCGCTGAGTATGGCCCCAAAATAAAGAAATGCAAATCTTGACCCTAGACATACCGAAAGGTGGACAGAGACCTCTAATAGCCTTTGCCCGCTCTCTTCAGGACAAAGGTTAGGAGTTCTCTAGATATAGTATGCTTTTTTTTGGGTTGGGTTGGGTTTGATTTTGGGCCACACCTGGCAGTGCTCAGGGGTTCCTCCAGGGCTTGGCACTCAGGACCCACTCCTGGCAATGCTCTGGGGACCGGTGACTTGCACCTGCCGGTTCAACTATCTCTCCAGTTCCCTATCTGGAGCTATTCTAATAAACTTACAAATCAGCATTTTCCTAGGAAGTGACTAAATTAACTTAAAAAAGAACAAGAAGGAAGGCTCGGAGAACTCACCCAAGGTCACACAGGTCTTGAGTGGCATGGCCAACTTGAAACGAGACTCGTCTGCCCGGGGCGTGAGCCCTGGGTGTGTGATGCTACTCCCGCCCTAATTTTGAGGCTTCGTGACCCGAAAGATGCATCTGAAACTCCTAGGAGGCGTTTTCAAACCGCAGGCGGCCTCTCTTTCAGACCAGCCTAATGCAGCCTGGCGGGGATTTCACAAGCAGTCGTGAGTTCCCCAGAAGGGAGGACGGCCAGGTCCAGAAACACCCGAGAGCAGCTTTCCAGGCTGCCCTTCCTCCGTGAGCCTCCAACCACGTTTGGTTCCCGAGCAAACAGGGGCGCTCAGCAAACACCATCCCGCCAAGAGCTCCCCGGGGAGGGCCCGGCGGGCGCGGGCTCCCGGGGCGGCGGCGGGACGCGAGGCGGGAGCGTGTCTGGCCGCGCGCGGCCGCCAGGGGGCACCGGGCGCCGGGCAATCGCGCCGGCCCGCGGCGCGGTGAGTCAGTTTCCTGCGCGGCGGCCCGCCCGCCCGCCCACTGCGTGTCCACTGCGCGGGCGCGGGAGGGGCCCGGGCCGCGAACACGTCACGCTGAGCCAGCCGGGCTTCCGAGAGCCACCGCGGGCAGACGCGCGAACGCGCGCACACGCGCACGCGATCAGACACGCGCGCACACGCACACGCGCGCTTGGATGCGCACACACACACGCACACGCGCGCGCCTGCGGACGCGCACACACGCGCGCGCGCGCGAGCACACACAGGCGCGCGCGGAGAGCTGGTCCCTCCACCTTATCTCCACGCCCCCAAGCAGAGATGAGTCAGATCTCTGGAAAATAAAAATAGACGGGAGTAAGGAAAACAAAAACCGCTGGAAAGTCCTCCCCGAAACGGAGGAGGGGAGCGGGAGGGAGTCACCCGCGCGCCCGAAAGTGCCAAACCCAGTTCCCAGACTCCCGAGCAGAGGGCGTGCGCGGGTCTCCCGAGGGCCCGGCCCGGTGGCCGCGTCCCGCTCCCCGGGGGGGCCACTCCGGCCGAGCTGGGCCGCCGACGGCCCCCCGGAAACCGCACCCTCCGGGGACACTGGGCGGCGGGAACGAGGGGGCCACGCTGTTCCAGAAGTGACAGGCTCCGGGTCCCCGAGGGCGCGGCGTGGGGCGGGGACCGGACGCCCGGGCCAGGACCTCCCGGTGTCCCGGCTTCTCTGGAACACTCTGTGCCGGCCAAATAGGTCACTATGCTGATGGGGTGGGGGTGGGGGCGCGGGGGGCAGAGATCGCCCAGGGCAGGGAAGGGGACTTCGGGGACTGGCAGCGTCCGGGTGGGGTCGCGCCCTACCCGGCGCGTCTTCGGGGTCTCCGATCACCGTGAGTCACGCTCCCCTGCACGCGGACGTGTCCTGACACCTTCCCGGGGGCCGGCGACACAGCGCGCGCTGACCTCAGCGACCAGCCCGGTAGTGGACACGGCGGCACGGGAATCCGGGAGCTGGGCGGGGCCCCCGAGCCCCGAGGAGAGTCTCCCGGGAGCGCAGAGGAACCTGCTGCGCTCACCGCGCCCCGGCGGACCCCGGCTCCCAGCTCCTGGTCACCGCGGGGTCACGCCCTGTCCGGGGCCGGTCCGTCCCGGTCCCCCGACCCGCACCCGGGGGTGGGGGGGCGGAGAGAGTGGCGGGGATCCCTCTCACCTGGGTTTCCCCTCTCCGCCCGGCAGCTCTCACGCATCCCGACCCCCCGAGCACTTGAGACCCCGAGCGCGCAGCCCCGGACACCCGCACGCGCCAGCGCGCAGTCACCTGTGAACCTGGCGCGCGTGACACGCGCACGGGCACACAGACACGGCGCGCGCGCACGTACACACGCTCAGACACACGGACGCAGACGGACACACTCACGCACACGCTCACGGACACGCCCGACCCCGCTCAAGCCGCCGCCAGCCGCGCCCTCACCTCCTTCTGAGGCTCGCCTGGACCCAGGACCGGTGCCCCTCGGCTCTGCTCAGCTGCGCTCACCTCGGCCCGCCCGCCTGCCCGCCTCTATATAACCCGCCGCCCCACCCACCCACCCCACCCCCTCGTACCGCCCCGTCGCGTCCGCCCGCCACGCCCCGCCCCCCGCGCCCCGCCCGCGCCTCGCGCCCGCCCGCCCCGCCCCGGCTGCTCGCGCGGGGGTTCGCTCCCTTCCGAGCCCTGAGTGAGCAGTGGGAGGGGGTTTCCCTCCTCCCCACACCCCATGTCTCGGTCTCTGCGCTCATCACCCCACCCCCCCACGGAGTGAACCACAGCCCTCTGCTACCCCAATGTTCAGGACACCCGTGGTCCACCATCTGAACGGTGCCATCCCAATCCCTTCTCAGGGACCCCTGACTCAACCACCTGTCTGAGGCATCCAGACACTCCAAGCAAGGGTCGAGGGTAAAGGGGGGATCAATCCCCTTTATTTCACAGATCAAACACGAAAGCACAGAAATCAAGGCCCGGAGTTGTTGCTGTCTCAAGGCAGGCAGGATTGGGGGAATCCTCTCAGAAAGAGCCAACAGCTGGCCGGGTTTGATCCCCTGAACCCCAGATGGTCAGGGTCCCCCGAGTCCGGTCAAGAGTGATCCGTGAGCACAGAGCCAGGAGTAAGTCCTGAGCATGGCCTGGTGTGGACCAAAAAAAATCAAACATCAAAAAAAAAAAATGAAGTAGAAGAAGAAACTTCTGTGATTGCAGATTAGATGTCTGGGGACGGGAAGAAAGATTTAAAGAGTTACCCCAAAATGTTCCCCCCACGTAGCTCACTTTCACTGCTGGGGAAACTGAGGCTCGTAGTTTGGTGACCTGATTTAGGTGAAACAGCAAGTAACGGCTCCAATTAAGGACTGGAAAGATGCTACAGGGATTGAGATACTTGCCTTGCACATGGTGGGACCCTGGTTTGAATCCCCAGCCCCACAAAGAACCCCTCCCCCCCAGCACCATGTTGCTCCCTGGGCATAGTCAGGAGCCCCTGAACACCAGGAGATGTGACCCCACAAAACAGAAAGAAAAGCCAATAAGCTTGTTATGGCTACCTCAGAGGTCTATTGTCCCTGCCCAGAAATAGGTCTCTGCTCACTTGCCCTTTGTTCCTGAGGCTCTGGTCTGAGGAATAATGCCCCAGCATCCCTCACTGGGGCGCGCAACACTGGCGAGGAACAATCCTGGAAATGCCCACCTGCGCTTCCGACTTGGGGGACAGACGGAAGTGAGGTGCTCTGCTCTCCTCCGTGCTATGCCCAGCACTCTCCTTTCCCCTCCTTTCTTCGCTTAAAACAGTCGCAAATTTCTTTTCAAACGACTTCGAGGAGCAGAGTGTTCATTTAGACAGCTACCCCATTAAAAAGTCGGATCCAGCTTGGAGCAGCTACAATTGCTGGCAGCCAGCGCTGCTGGGTGTCTGGGAGTCTCTGCCCGGACATGCCCAGTCTTCTTCCTCTAAGACAGCTGACCTCAGGGGGACTGGCCTGGGCCTCCCCTTTCTGCTGGGGATGGGAGGTGAGGCCAGTTAGGGGGTTGGGTGGAGGGCAGGCCAGTTAGGGGGTTGGGTGGAGGGCACTGAGCCAGGCCCCCTTACCTGCCTGAGACTGGAATCAGGCCAAGGCTGTGACAGGCCTTCCTTCGAGGCCTCAAACAGGCCAAGCCCCCGGGTCCCGCCTTCTCCTGCCCCCCCTTCCTCTCCCTCCACCTCCCCACAACCAAGCAGGCTGTCAGCCCCCCGCAGAGGACACGCAGAGCCTCCCCTGGCTGGAATTTTGTACAGCTCGCAGGCATTTGAAATAAACTGGACATTGTCTGCCTGTTTACTTTAGGGGGGAAAAATTTCATGAAAGTTCGTATTGAATTATTTAAAGTTTTGTGGTCCTGAGCTGCACAATGAAATCATTCTTTTTGGTGGTGCTCTCGGGAAGGAAGGGCTTTGATTTTTTTTTTCTTCATAACTTCCAGCTCCCCACCACAACAGAACTCAACAAATATTTATTTATTATTTTAAAAAGCAATTGTATTTTCCCCCTCCTTTTATTCCCTGTGCAGACAGGGTCACACCCACCAGCTTGCGGTATACTTTGGTGTGGTACAGCAGTTCACGAACAGCAGTGCCAACCAAGGAACCGCTTGACGTGTGGGCAATGCCAGGGATCCAAGTCGTGGCCTCACACCTGCAAGGCAGGTGCCCTACCGAGAGCTCCCAGGCCCCTCAGTGTATATTTATTAAGGATCTACTAAGTATCTGTCCTGTTGAGTTCCGAAACAACAAAAAGCTGGGAAACAGTGAGATAGTTCAGAGAGTAGGGTGTGTGCTTGCCTTGCACAAGGCCAACCTGGGTTCAATCCCTGGCATCCCATATTGTCTGTCCCCGGAGCACACCAGGAGTGGTTCCTGAGTGCAGTGCCGGGAGTAACCCCTGAGCATTGCCAGGTGTGTGTCCCCAACTAAAAAAATAATAATAATAATAATAATTTTTAAAAAACACGTTTCTCCCAACTGTACACAGTGTGCAGTCAGGCATGCCCTATATGGAAAGACTGCTGCCCTAAAGAGAGCCAAGGAGCAGGTTGTAGAAATCACAAGATCTGCTAACACACACACACACACACACACACACACACACACTCACACGCACGCGCGCACACGCAACGTGAGCCCAAAACAATCCCACCACTCCCTTGCCCCCCAAACCGACAGTCCCAAGGACAAAACAGCCGCCAAGCTCCTCCAGGCCAGGGCAGCGCACGTTAGGACATGTTCCTGGGGACCATTGGGCCAGCCAGGGACACAGCAACTGCCTGGGCATGTTCCCCAGAGCAGGCAGCGAAGGGCCGGAGAGAGGCTTAGACTAGGGGACAGGCGGGTCCACATCAGCCCTGACCTGGGACCAGGGAGGGAGACCGTGATGAGGCGGAGGGTGGGAGTCCAGACCTGAAGGAGGATGTGAGGAGCGCTGGACAGTGGCAGCGGCAGCTGCCGAGGACGGGAGAGGAAGTGCAGGGAACGGGTCACAATTTCTCAGAAAAGGCCCGGGGAGTCCCAAAGAGGCTGTCAGCTTTCAGAGGAATTCACCTCCGCACAGGCTCCAAGAAGTGAGACCCCAGAGGTGAGGCAGAGAGAAACAGCATTCCACAGGTCAGCTGCCTGCTTGCTTTTCGTTTTTATTTTGTTTACAGTGCAGCCTCCGCTCATCTGGACCTGCGGGTGCCTTCGTCCAACCTATGCAAGAATTAGGACTGACTGTCAAGTGAGACAGCGGGCTTGTGACAGAATTTACACCTTAGAAACACACTGGCCTCCAGAACCTAGAAACGTCAACTAGCCAAAACTTGGCATTAGCAGGGGCTGGAGATAGCACAGTGGGGAGGGCATTTGCCTTGCATGCAGATGATCCAGGTTCAACCCCCAGCACCACGTATATGGTCCGAAGCCTGCCAGGATTGATCCCTGAGTGCAGAGCCAGGAGTAAGCCCTTAGTTTTGGGGGCCGGGGGTTATTTGTTAGCTTTGGTTTTTAGTTTTTGGGGCCATGCCTGCTGATGATCAGGACTGACTCCTGGCTCTGCCCTCAGGCATCACTCCTGGAGGTGCATGGGGGACCATATAGGATGCCGGAGATCGAACCTAGGTCAGCTGGGTGCAAGGCAAACGCCCTCCCCACTATGATATCACTCCGACCCAAAATCCATTCTTCCGTTCATATTTTCATCTTTTCTGTTTTGTTTTGCTTATGTGGCATACCCAGCAGTGCTCAGGCCTTACTCCTGGCTCTGTGCTTAGGGATTGTGTCTTGCAGTTGTCCAGAGATTGTATGGGGTTCTGGGAACTACACCCAAGTCAGCTGGATACAAGGCAAACTCCCTGCCTGCTGAGTACCACTGTAGCACTGTCCTCCTGTTGTCCATCATTTGCTCGAATGGGCTCAGTAACATCTCCATTGTGAGACTGGTTGTTACTGTGTTTGGCACATTGAATACGTCACGGGGAACTTGCCAGGCTTTGCCGTGCAGGCGAGATACTCTCGGTAGCTTGCCGGGCTCTCTGAGAGGGGCGGAGGAATCGAACCAAGCTTGGCCTAGCCAGCCGCGCGCAAGGCAAATGCCCTACCGCTGTGCTATAGCTCCAGCCCCCTGCTGTAGTATCCCCAACCTTTGACCATAATTTTGTTCTTTGTTAAGGAAGATCACAGGGGCAAAGTGCTCAGCATAGTTCCCAGCAGAGAGAAACTTCAGGTGGGCTTCTCAGAACACACACTCTGGGGTAGGGATGCACTTGAAGAGTTCTTGGGGGATATGCTTGCAGGCCACACCAGAGCGGGCATAAAAGAAACAGGTTTGAGCGTAGAGAGAAACTGGGTTGTGAAGGTGGGGGTCCAGGGGGGCCTCGGCTGAACCCACAGGGAACTCCAGGGCTGGGATGGCCCTATAGATTCCCTGTATTGAAAGAGGAGGACGGGCCTTGACCATCATCTGGATGTGCATTTCCCTTGACGCCCCCCATAGCGGTGCAGGATCTTGGGCACCTGAGTTCCTTTACCTGAGGCTGATTTTGAAGGGCCTTGCTACAGGCATCAGAGACCAGCACCCCTGGGAGCCAGCAGGGAGGACCAGTGCCGGGTTCAGGAGGCGACACAATGAACATGCATTAATCACATCGTTTGGAGACTAGAAGGTGGCAAAGAAATGCTACGAACATGGGGGCTGAGGAGAGGGCCCAGGAGGGTGGAATCTGAGTCCCTGGAGAAGTGCCCGAAGCACTATTGGGTACGGAGACTGATGACCCTCAGCACCTCTGCCAAGCTCTGAACCATCAGGCCCACACTGCAAAGGAAGTATCCCTGCGCCCTGAGCAGCACTGAGGAAGCCCCCAGGGTTTTTTTTAATTTAATTTAAAAAAAAAAGGGAAAACAAAGTCTGGACTGAGGAGACAGTTCAAAGGGCTGGAACTCACGCTTTGCACAGGGGAGTCCCTGGGCGGAGAGACCAACATCTTAA